GGATGTGGAGAAAAGGGAACACTTCTACACTGCTGGTGGGAATGCAAATTAATTCATTCCTTTGGAAATACATCTGGAGAACACTTAGAGAACTAAAAATAGACCTGCCATTTGATCCCGCAATTCCTTTATTAGGTATATATCCAGAAAACCAAAAATCACATTACAACAAAGATATCTGTATCAGAATGTTTACTGCAGCCCAATTCATATTAGCTAGGTCATGGAAGAAGCCCAAGTGCCCATCGAGAATGGATCAATAAATTGTGGTATATGTACGCCATGGAATATTATGCAGCCATAAAGAAAGAAGAAGACTTTATCTCCTTCATGTTTACATGGATGGAGCTGGAAAATGTTCTTCTTAGCAAAGTATCTAAAGAATGAAAGAAAAAGTATCCAATGTACACATCCCTATTATGAAATTAATTTATAGCTTTCATAGGAATGTTATAACCTAATTATAGGCTTAGAATATGGGGAGGGGAGTGGGGGGAGGAGGGGAGGGGAGGGGATGGGTAGAGAAAAAGTGATTGGTGATAAACCACCTCTATGGTTTATCTTACAAGGGTACAAGAGAACCTTTCTCAAAGCAGAATATGAATGTCTTAATTCAGTAACTAAGAAAATGACATGAAGGCTACGTTAACCAGTTTGATGAGAGTATTTCAAATTGTATATGAAAACACCACACTGTACCCAATGATTGCATTAATGTACACAGCTATGATTTAATTTTATATATGTGTGTGTGTGTATGTGTGTGTGTGTGTATTCTAGCAGTGGTAGCACACATCTGTAATCCCAGCTACTTCGGAGGCTGAGGTAAGAGGATTGCTTGAGCCCAAGAGTTTGAAGTTGCTGTGAGCTATGACACTACAGCACTCTACTGAGGGTGACAAACTGAGACTCTGTCTCAAAAAAAAAAGGCTTAGCGCCTGTGGCTCAAGTGGCTAAGGTGCCAGCCACATACACCCAAGGTGGCAGGTTCGAATCCAGCCCAGGCCTACCAAATAATGATGGCTGCAACCAAAACATAGCCGGGTGCTGTGGCAGGTGCCTGTGGTCCCGGCTACTTGGGAGGATGAGGCAGGAGACTCACTTGAGCCCAGGAGTTGGAGGTTGCTGTCAGCTGTGATGCCACAGCACTCTACCCAGGGGGACAGCTTGAGGCTCTGTCTCAAAAAAAAAAGAAAGACAGAAAGAAAAAAGCAGGGTGGCACCTGTGGCTCAGTGGGCAGGGCACCAGCCCCATATACTGAGGGTGTGGGTTCAAGCCCAGCCCCAGCCAAACTGCAACAAAAAAAATAGCTGGGTGTTGGGCGGGTGCCTGTAGTCCCAGCTACTTGGGAGGCTGAAGCAAGGGAATCACCTAAGCCCAGGAGTTGGAGGTTACTGTGAGCTGTGTGATGCCACAGCACTCTACCAAGGGTCATAAAGTAAAAAAAAGAAAAAAAGAAAAAAAGAAAGAAAAAGCAAGAGAGCCTGCAAAAGTCACCTCAAATTCTTAGTACAGAATACAAAGATTGCCAGCAAATCAGTTCATGTTTTCCACAAGTACCTCTAATGAACTCTAGCCAATATAATCTCACAGGGAGAAAAGTCTGGTAAACTTGTTTGCTACCATCAAGTTTAAAAGCCACATCTTATTTTTTCCTTGAAGAATGGCTCTGAAGAGCACAAAAATACTTTGTAAAACCTCATAGCCATTTCCACAAACTATGCCACACGTGGTTTTCAACAAGCATCTTCAAAATACTCTTGACAAACACAATCAGCTTTATGTGAGAGCAGTTCCCTGTATAAAGGAAACACAATTTTACAAAGGTAATACAGCTATAAACTATATTACAGCTGTTCTTCTGATGTATACATAGTATACTCAGTCGTCTAAATTGACCAACCTTTCTGAATCTCAGCTTATACCCACAGCCCCTGGATCCTAACTAACAAAGATACATTTAGTTTTATCTCTTATTTTTTAAGGCTATAGTTTTATATCTCTGAATATAGAGGAGGATATGTTGTAACAAATTATTTCCAGCTAGTTTATATGATAAAAGATTTTACTAAAAATCAAATATGTAAGGAAGTTTAACAGAGAAATTATTGTCAAACAGTAGAGGAAAGAAAATGATAGAAGTTTTACAAAAACTAAGGGAATCCTGGTTTCAGAAAGCCAAAGATGAGCGAGCATCGCAGCCATCCCTACATTTAAACATTTAAGTGCTGGCTGGCACTGAGAGGAACACTGCCATGGAGCATGCGCATCTGGTACTGCTGGCGGGGGAGGCTTTCCATTTTGAGCTCCCCTAATCCATACAAACCCTCCCCAGAACCAGCATTGTCATCATCACTCCACTTTCACAGAAGAGAAAAGTAAAGCACAGAGAGCATGGCCCAAGGTCACACAGCTGCCTAGTAAAAGAGTTGGGAAACAAATTCAGCCCACCTGGTTTCCAGAGACCACTAGCAGGGGTCCTCAAACTTTTTAAACAGGGTGCCAGTTCACTGTCCCTCAGACCACTGGCGGGCCGGAGTGCGGACCCCGGGAAGAGTTGGCTGCTAAGCAGGACAGGCAGCAACGGCAAAAACACCCGGCGGGCCACATGTGGCCCATGGGCCGTAGTTTGAGGACCCTTGAAAGGCCTCTCATAATACTTATAGTGGGCTCAGAATAACACACATGAAGGGTTCAAACCTCACAAACAAGTAGTGACGAAGAATATTCAGCTCCCTCCATCCACCCACCAGGAAATATTCTGGGGAATCTTCAATAACAGTAACTGACAGGTTTGGTACAATTCTCACACTGAAATAAACACAGTCCAATTGTATTTTAGAAATACCAAAGAGTAAAAACAGACTGACCGTTAGAAATGGCAAACCAGTTGCTAATCACAGACCTTTAGTTTCACATAGAATTCAAGACTTTGGCAAAGAGCAAATGACATAGATCTGTGGTCCATAAATCACAGGTAGGAAGCACAGAACACACTACGCCCATCATACTTACTGTTATCTAAATTAAACATCTGCGTATTAATCAAAAAACATCGGCTTCCCAAGATATGGTAACTACCAGATCCCTAAGATGTGCCAACACACCCCCAATTCTTTGGCTGTATACTTCTATAAAAGAATAAGGGCCAGATACAGTGGCTCACACCTAAAATCCCTGCACTTTGGGAGGCTGAGGCCAGGAATTTGAGATCAGCCTGGTAAACATAGCAAGAACCCTGGCGGTGCCCGTAGCTCAGTGGGTAGAGTGCCAGCCACATACACGGAGGCTGGCAGGTTCAAACCTGGCCTAGACCAGCTAAAACAACGACAGTTGCGGAAAAAAAGAAATTAGCCAGGCATTGTGGAGGGCACCTGTAGTCCTAGCTACTTTGGGAAGCTGAGGCAAAAGAATCACTTAAGCCCAAGAGTTTGAGGTTGCTATGACCTGTGACGCCACGGCACTCTACCCAGGGCGACAGCTTGAGACTCCACGTAAAAACACACACACACAGCAAGACCCCTCTGTCTCTATTTAAAAAAACAAAAAAACAAAAAACAGGTTCAGCGCCTGTAGCACAGTGGCTATGGCACCAGCCACCTATAGCAGGGCTGGTGGGTTTGAACACAGCCTGGGCCAGCTAAACAACAATGACAACTGCAATAAAAGGTGGCTGGGTGTTGTGGCAGGCACCTGTGATCCCAGTTACTTGGGAGGCTGAGGCAGGAGGATTGCTTGAGCCCAAGAGTTTCAAGTAGCTGTGAGCTATGACACCGTGGCACTCTACTAAGGGCAACACAGTTGAGACTCTGTCTCAAAAAAAAAAAATCAAGAAAAATTAGCTGGGCCTATAATCCTCTCTACTTGGGAGGCTGAGGCAGAATTGCTTAAGCCAGGAGACCAAGATTCTAAGAAGCCATAATCACGCCACTGCACTTCAGCCTCAGTGATAGTGTAAGACAGTCTCTTTAAAAATAAAAAAAGGAAGAAGAAAATATTAGGCATAGAAAGGTCTAAACTACAATCACAAAACACCTTCAGAGATTCACATTCTGGCAAATTATTTCTCCCAAACCTACAAAGCTCTATCAAGTTTTAATACAGATAACAAAATCTTTGCTAAATTATCTGTATTAATTACTTTCGTTTCTGTTTTTTTTAATACAGCCTCAGCCTCTGAAAGTATTAGAGTTAGACATGAGCCACAATGCTAGACTTATTTCCATTTTTAAATTAAGGCATAATTTACATATATAAAATTCACTCTTTTTAGTGTTCAATTGTATGACTTTTGGCACAGCTGTGTAACCACAACCATACAATATACAAAACTTCCATCATTCTAAAAAATTCGACATTGCCAGGCGGTGCCTATGGCTCAGTGAGTAGGGCACCCGGCCCCATATACTGAGGGTGGCAAGTTCGGACCCAGCCCTGGCCAAACTGCAACAAGTTTGCATTGTTGCAACAAGTAGCTAGGCATTGTGGCAGGCACCTGTAGTCCCAGCTACTTGGGAGGCTGAGGCAAGAGAATCACCTAAACCCAAGAGCTGGAGGTTGCTGTGAGGTGTGAGGCCACGGCACTCTACCAAGGGTGACAAAGTGAGAATCTGTCTCCTAAAAAAAAAAAAATTCGGCATTGCCAGTGCCTCCCAGGCTGCTGGCAACTATTTATCTGTTTACTCTCCCCAAAGTATTGCCATTTCCTATTACATATAAACATAATCCTATAGTATGCAAGCTTTTGAGTCTAGCTCCTTTCACTTAGTATAATGCATTTTAGATGCATCATTTGTTGCATGTATTAGTAAATTTAATTAAGAAATAGTATTCCATTGTGTGGATATATAACAGTTCATTTATTCATTCATCCATCAGGGAAATCTGGATAATCCCCTTTTTGTTAATTGTTTTTTAAAAACCTGCTATAAACATTTACATAAAGATTTTTTTTCTTTTTTTTTTAAATTTTAAATACAGCTTTATTTAAGACATTGCATTTTCCACTTACAATACAGTGCTTTTACAGTGCAATGTTATTTCCTTCCCCTGTGCACATGTTCCATATTCAAGTATTGAAAATGCCCAGTAATTCACTATAGCAGCCCAACTTTAAATCTGCCACATAATTTGCTACAAATTTAGATCCTTCAACATTTTACTGTGCAGAACAATGCTACATCTACACTTAGGTTGGCTTAACCTCTTCAATGGTGGGGCCAGATGAAGCACCATCAGAAGGAGGAGCACCACCACCAGGGAAGCCCCCAGGCATTCCTCCTGGCATGCCCTCTGGCATTCCACCTGTACTCTGGTACAACTTGGTAATGATGGGGTTGCAGACCTTCTATAGCTCCTTCTGCTGATGTTTAAATTCTTCCTTCTTTGCAGTCTGGTTCCAGCCAGTCAATAATTTCATTACACTTGTCAAGAATCTTCTGTTTGGGCTTGGCGCCTGTGGCTCAAGTGGCTAAGGCTCCAGCCACATATACCTAAGGTGGCGAGTTTGAATCCAGCCCAGGCCCGCCAAACAACGATGATGGCTGCAACCAAAAAATAGCCAGGCGTTGTGGCAGGCACCTGTGGGCCCAGCTACTTGGGAGGCTGAGGCAGGAGACTCGCTTGAGCCCAGGAGTTGGAGGTTGCTGTGAGCTGTGATGCCACAGC